TGTAATAAATGCTGCCTTAAAAAATACATTTATAGTTGAATTGTTAGCTATGATAAAATGCAGTAATTAAACAACATAAGCTTTCTTTGTCCCTTACTGCAATTCAAATGTTTTGCTTTTACCACCCAGTAAGAACTCAAAGTGCAGGATTCACTTTTATTCTAGATTAAAGTTGAGATATTTAGTGGCATTAATACTTTAAAAAGAAATCAAAGAAATAGAATGTCTTACAAAGTCTAAATTTTTTTATATAATGCAGTGGAATGCAGTCCACACTGAAAATATCCTATAAATAGAACAATATTTTTTCTAATATTGTTAACATAGTAAGTGTACTTACTCAGATTCCTTCATTGAATATAAACTTTGCTCAAAAAATCTATATGATTAACACTAATATTTCACAAATGTGAGAAGTTTTGTTCTTGAAATATAAAAAGTTTTAGAAATTAAGTTCCATTTCTTCCTAAGTTGTTAATATAAACAGTAAAGAAGGAAATATTGTTCTTGAGCTATTGGTTTTTCTGATCAGTTTTCCAGCCAGATATTATTCTTCATCATTTAAAAAATCATTATAAACCTTTACCATTCTGTAAGTTTTTCTATAGGAAAATATTGTGTCCTGACTAGAGAAGTACATAGAATATTATGAATAAAATGGAGTAGTTATACTCTAAACTCACTGATACATGTTTAAAATATTATTATAGAAATAACATTTTTACTGTTAACTCATTTTCTACTTTTATAATACTTTCTCGTAAGGCTGAAGGCCTAAGAAATTAGTCTGATTTTGAAAGATTGTCTGCAAATTTTAATTGTATTTAAAGAAGCAGCATGTTTTATTTCAAACTACTAGAGAAGGGCTCATAAAATTTTGTTTCTAACCTGGTTTTTCCAGTTCCCAGTTTTGTGACCTTGGGCAGATCACTTCATCTATAAAATAAGAACAATGTATACCACAGAAGATTAAGTTAAATATAATATATATAGCAGTGTTTTATAAATGATATAGTTTTTGAATCCCTGCAGGGCAGGGAGGGACCCTGTCTATCTTGTTTTCTTACTCTTAAAGCCCCAGAGCATGCTTGGTATATAACAGGTGCTCCAGAGTTATTACTTCTTGAATAAATTAACATTACACATTAGTGTTATATGGGAAAAAAGCATGAGCCTGTTGACTTTTTGACAAAATATAAATGGAAATTCTAAACAGCTTGGACATTTTTCAGGCCCAGAGTAATAAATGATTTATTTATTCATACAGTCTTCTTTGGTGATAGACAATTACATGGTGATAGGTCAATTACATCCTCCTGTTAGAAAGGCAAACAGTTTGACTTAGTGTCTCATAAATTTTGAGGGCAAAATGAAAGTTGATCAAGATTATTGAACTTTATTTATTATTCCTTTCCACCCTCATTCCTATGCACAAATCTACCTTCACTTCAGCTCTGTAAGGAGTTCAGGTATTTTGATTGCCATTCTCTCTATTCTAATCACGTTTACCTCCCTTCTTGCATAAGTACAAGTCATCCCTCACTTAGGCTACTTGAGTTTCTCTCGGTGGTTTATGGTTTCTTAGATTCCCAACTCTGTACTGTTTAATTTCTTCTTAAATACTACTATGTAACTTTAACAGAAACAGGCTTTTTCTATCCAAATTTGAGGTCCAGAGTCTCCTACCTTCTTTGTCATTGGTTCCTTTGTCTTCATTCTTCAATCCTTGTCCTTAAAGCTTTAAACCTCACTTTTTGCCTTATGTAGTATTAAAATATAATTATACTTTGTTTAAAAATACAATACAATGTTATTTGTATTTTTTTACATTAAAAATTGGCAGATGTTTTAGCTTATAAAAAAATTATTATAAAAACAAAATGTAACCATTATGAAGTATAGTACAGAAAAACTGAATATTGGCCACATTGCCATGCCTCAGAAATAACTACTGTTGATATTTTCCTCTACATTATTCCATGTTCTTTTCCCATTTATTTGCTAGTATGTCCGTATGTGTGTGTGTGTGTGTGTTTGCAAATGTATGGGAAAATTTTATATGTGTATGTATACAAAATTAGATTAAATTATATATACAGTTTTCCTCTTAATAATTTACATGGAATTCTTTCTGCTAAATTATTTATAGATCGATCTCATTCTTTTTTACAACGCTGTATCATTCCTTTGGATGGATATGCCATATTTTATTTAAAAATTTCCCCATCTATTGACATTTAGTTTGCTTGCAAATTTTCACTATTTTAGGCAATGGTGAAGTAAACAGTCTTTGCTTTTATGCTCATTAAGTTATGAAAATTTCTCTGTGGAATGACTTCCTAGAAATGGAATTGCAGGGTTAGATGGTATTTAATATTGATTTAAAATCTATATCTTTCTCCTTTTTGTAAACCTCTTCAAAAATAAAGTATAATTTAAGCCTCTGGCTCAGATTGTTGTATTTCAGCATCAGCCAATTGTCGTTGGAGTTGTTTCACAACTACCTAATAACATATTTCTTGTTAATATATCACTCTAACATACGTGTTTTGAAAAAAGAAAGGAAGTATAATTTAAGTGAATGGGTTGCTATTGTTTTAAGGCTTAATCAACGAGAAATAGTACTTAACATTTTAATTCTCTTAATTTATTATGTAATGTTTTATGTGTTTTTTTCCCTTTAAATTACTATTTACTAGAAGAACTGACTAGAGATGGGAGGAGAGTATTTGATAATGGGTTTCATTCTGACTCCAACACTCTTAACTATATTATCTAATGTATTTAGATAGATATGTTAATTTATAATTTAGTTGTATGATCAAATCAATTGAAGTAGTATAAATTGAAACTAAATCATTATGTTGACCCTTAGGGAACAGTATACCAAAAATATTGCTGAACAAGAAAACCTTGGGAAGGTAAGAATGTATTATTTATTTTGTAAAATATGTGTAATTCAGGCTTTCAGTACATGGTTGTGACACTGTCACTCTTTTTAAAAGGTTACAGTACAGTTTTCAAGGGGAGATTGGATCCTTCTTAATTCCTGTCAAAGGTGATTCCTTAGGAGTTTAGTTTTATCGAAGTGAAAGCACATGGATTTTTGGAGAAAAAAATCTAGTTTTAAATAACAAAGAGTTCATGAGAAGGTTCTGCATAACAAACTACCACATTTGTGATGAACTTACAAGTTTTCAAATTCTCAGGTATCTCTGCTATAAGTATAAACTTATTCATTTATTTTATTTAATAAACACAAAACTCTTACTACAAGCCAGGCACTGGGCTAAGTCCTTTACAAACATTTATTCATTTAATACAAATAATTGAAAAACCTTACTTGAGATATTCAGCTCTCTCCCTTCTAGTCTTGTATGAAGGCTACTGAAAATAGGAGTGTGTGATTGAGTCTTGTTTTCTCAGTTGTCTAAACCACTCCTACTACACTATAAGTAAGTAATAGATAGTAAAGGAGGGCCTTCACAGTAAGCTTAAATAAACAATGATTTGATTGTTCTAGTTAACTTAAAGCAACACATTTTGACAGTCATTTTAAAGATACCAACTCTGTCATTTTCTTTTTTTTAGAAAGACCCGTATTTATTAAAACTCAGGACCAGTCATCAAGTAGGCAGGTTTCAGCCCTAAGTTTGTGGTTCCAGACAAACCCTTAACCACTTGGGAGTTCAATTCCTCATATTTAAACCAAAATTGGTAGATTGGAAATTTAAAAATTAAATTATCTACATGAGTTTTAAGATCATCTTCAATGAATTTAAGTCCATGTTGCATAGTGAACACTAACCATGTTTCCCTACCCCATCATTTTATCTGTTTCTTATTTAATTCACTATTAAAAATTGAGGTTTTTTTTTAAAGGTATAATTGATATACAATCTTATGAAGGTTTCACATGAGCAACATTGTGGTTATTACATTCACCCATATTATCAAGTCCCCCCCCCACATACCCCACTGAAGTCACTATCCATCAGCATATTAAGATGCTGTAGAGGCACTACTTGTCTTCTCTGTGCTATACTGCCTTCCCCATGCCCCCACTACATTATGTGTGCTGATCACAATACCCCTTAATCCCCTCCTCCCTCCCTTCCCACACGCCATCCCTAACGCCTTTCTCTTTGGTAACCACTAGTCCCTTTTTGGAGTCTGTGAGTCTGCTACTGCTTTTTTCCTTCAGTTTTGCTGTGTTGTTATACTTTACAAATGAGTGAAATCATTTGGTACTTGTCTTTCTCTGCCTAGCTTATTTCACTGAGCATAATACCCTCTAGCTCCATCCATGTTGTTGCAAATGGTAGGATCTGTTTTCTGCTTTTGGCTGAATAGCATTCCATTGTGTATATGTACCACATCTTCTTTATCCATTCATCTACTGATGGACACTTAGGTTGCTTCCATTTCTTGGCTATTGTAAATAATGCTGCGATAAACATAGGGGTGCATATGTCTTTTTGAATCTGTGATCTTGTTTTCTTGAGGTAAATTCCTAGGAGTGGAATTCCTGGGTCAAATGGTATTTCTGTTTTTAGTTTTTTAAGGAACCTCCATATTGCCTTCCACAATGGTTGAACTAATTTACATTCCCACTAACAGTGTAGGAAGGTTCCCCTTTCTCCACATTCTGACCAAGATTTGTTGTTCCTTTTCTTTTGAATGTTGGCCTTCCTAACTGGTGTGAGGTGATAACTCATTGTGGTTTTAGTTTGCATTTCTGTGATGATAAGCAGTGTGGAGCATCTTTTCATATGCCTGTCGGTCATCTGAATTTCTTCTTTTGAGAAGTGTCTGCTCAGTTCCTCTGCCCATTTTTTAATTGGGTTATTTGTTTTTTGGGTGTTGAGGCACCAGAGTTCTTTATATATTTTGGATGTCAACCCTTTATCGAATATGTCATTTACAAATATAGTCTCCTATATTGTAGGATGCTTTTACATTCTACTGATGGTGTCCTTTGCTGTACAGAAACTTTTTAGTTTGATGTAGTCCCATTTGTTCATTTTTGCTTTTGTTTTTCCCTTGCCCAAGGAGATGCATTCAGGAAAAAGTTGCTCATGTTTATATTCAAGAGAGTTTTGCCTATGTTTCATGACTTATATTCAGGTCTTTTATTCATTTCAAGTTTAGTTTTGTGTATGGAGTTAGACAGTAATCCAGTTTCATTCTCTTACATGTAGCTGTCCAGTTTTGCCAACACCAGTTGTTGAAGAGGCTGTCATTTCCCCATTGTATATCCATGGCTCCTTTATCATCTATTAATTGACCATATATGCTTGGGTTTATATCTGGGCTCTCTAGTCTGTTCCATTGGTCTATGGGTCTATTCTTGTGCCAGTGCCAGTACAAAATTGTCCTGATTACTGTGGCTTTGTAGTAGAGCTTGAAGTCAGGGAGCATAATTCCTCCTGCTTTATTCTTCCTTCTCAGGATTGCTTTGGCTATTTGGGGTCTTTTGTGGTTCCATATGAATTTTAGAAGTATTTGCTCTAGTTTGTTGAAGAATGCTGGTATTTTTATAGGGATTGCATTGAATCTGTAGACTGCTTTAGGCAGGATGGCCATTTTGACAATATTAATTCTTCCTATCCATGAGCGTGGGATGTGTTTCCATTTATTGGTATCTTCTTTAATTTCTCTCATGATTGTCTTGTAGTTTTCAGAGTATAGGTCTTTCACTTCCTTGGTTAGGTTTATTCCTAGGTATTTTATTCTTTTTGATGCAATTGTGAATGAAATTGTTTTCCTGATTTCTCTTTCTGCTAGTTCATTGTTAGTATATAGGAGTGCAACAGATTTCTGTGTATTAATTTTCTATCCTGCAACTTTACTGAATTCAGATATTAGTTCTAGTAGTTTTAGAGTGGATTCTTTAGGGTTTTTTATGTACAATATCATGTCATCTGCAAATTGTGACAGTTTAACTTCTTCCTTACCAATCTGGATGCCTTTTATTTCTTTGTGTTCTCTGATTGCTATGGCTAGGACCATCAGTACTATGTTGAATAAAAGTGGAGAAAGTGGGCATCCTTGTACTGTTCCCGATTTTAAAGGAAAAGCTTTCAGCTTCTCAATGCTAAGTGTAATGTTGGCTGTGGGTTTGTCATATATGGCCTTCATTATGTTGAGGTACTTGCCCTCTATACCCATTTTGTTGAGAGTTTTTATCATGAATGGATGTTGAATTTTGTCAAATGGTTTTTCATCATCTATGGAGATGATCATGTGGTTTTTGTCCTTCTTTTTGTTCATGTGGTGGATGATGTTGATGGATTTTCAAATATTATACCATCCTTGCATCCCTGGAATGAATCCCACTTGATCAGGATGGACTATCTTTTTGATGTATTTTTTAATTCAGTTTGCAGATATTTTGTTGAGTATTTTTGCATCTATGTTCATCAGGGATATTGGTCTAAAATATTCTTTTTTTGTGGTGTCTTTGCCTGGTTTTGGTATTAGAGTTATGCTGGCTTCAGAGGATGAGTTTGGAAGTATTTCCTTCTCTCCTACTTTTTGGGAAACTTTAAGGAGAATGGGTATTAGGTCTTCACTAAATGTTTCATAAAATTCAGAGGTGAAGCCATCTAGTCTGGGAGTTTTGTTTTTAGGTAGTATTTTGATTACCAGTTCAATTTCATTGCTGGTAATTGGTCTGTTCAGATTTTCTGTTTCTTTCTAGGTCAGCCTTGGAAGATTGTATTATTCTAGAAAGTTGTCTGTCTCTTCTAGATTATCCAATTTGTTAGCATATAATTTTTCATGGTACTCTCTAATAATCCTTTGTATTTCTGTGGTATCCACAGTGATTTTTCCTTTCTCATTTCTGATTCTGTTTATGTGTAGGGACTCTCTTTTTTTCTTGATCATTCTGGCTAGAGATTTATCTTTTTTGTTTATTTTCTCAAAGAACCAGATCCTGGTTTCATTAATTATTTTTATTGTTTTATTCTTCTCAATTTTATTTATTTATTCTCTGATCTTAATTATGTCCCTCCTTCTACTGACTTGGGCCTCATTTGTTCTTCTTTTTCTAGTTTCATTAATTGTGAGTTTAGACTGTTCATTTGGGATTGTTCTTCTTTCTTGAGATAAGCCTGTATTGCTATGTACTTTCCTGTTACAATTGCCTTCACTGCATCCTACAGAAGTTGGGGTATCAGGCTGCTCTTTTCATTTGTCTCCATATATTGCTTGATCTCTGTTTTTATTTTGTCATTGATCCATTGATTATCTAGGAGCATGTTGTTAAGCCTCCATATGTTTGTGAGCCTTTTTGTTTTCTTCGTACAATTTATTTATATTTTTATACCTTTGTGATCTGAGAAGTTGGTTGGTAGAATTTCAATCTTTTTGAATTTACTGAGGCTCTTTTTGTGGCCTAGTATGTGGTCTCTTCTTGAAAATGTTCCATGTGCACTTGAGAAGAATGTATATCTTGCTGCTTTGGGGTGTAGAGTTCTGTAGATGTCTGTTAGGTCCATCTGTTCTAGTGTGCTGTTCAGTGTCTCTGTGTCCTTACTTATTTTCTGTCTGGTTGATCTGTCCTTTGGAGTGAGTGGTGTGTTGAAGTCTCCAAGAATGAATGCATTGCATTCTATTTCTTCCTTTAATTGTGTTAGTATTTGTTTCTCATATGTCAGTGCTCCTGTGTTGGGTGCATATGTATTTTTAATGGTTATATCCTCTTGTTGTACTGCTCCCTTTATCATTTTGTAATGTCCTTCTTTATCTCTTGTTACTTTGTTTTGAAGTCTATTTTGTCTGATACAAGTACTGCAACACCTGCTTTTTTCTCCCTATTGTTTGCATGAAATATCTTTTTCCATGCCTTCACTTTTAGTCTGTGTGTGTCTTTGGGTTTGAGGTGAGTCTCTTGTAAGCAGCATATAGATGGGTC